AACAAGAGGAGCAAGTCAGATGAGAGCTCGCCAGATACAATCAGTGAGATCTGGTACTGGGAGAGCCACTCAAGGTCAAGCGAGACAATGTCAGAATTGTGGGAATAATCATTTTGGAACTTGTCGATTGACTTCTAGAGTTTGCTTCCGATGCGAAGATGCCGTACATTTTATTCGGGATTGTCCATTAATGGTGGGTGAGTCTGCACCATCTAAAAGAAATGTTTCTGCCTCACAACGAGGACGAGGTAGATGAAGAAATCAATCTGAATCCTCTGCACAACCTGAAATTCTCTCTACCGCACGTATGTACAATTTAAAGACAAGTGGCGACCGTGATGATTCTGATATTATAGCAGGTATTTTCCAGCTATACGATAAATTAGTATTGGTGTTGATTGATTCGGGTTCCAATTATTCTTATATTACCAGTAAATTAATAAAAGAATTGAGAATTCCGTTAGAAGCTACGAGTAATGAAGTGATAGTAATTAATCTTTTAGGGCACAATGCTCGGGTGAATAAGGTCTGTAAAGGATGTCCCATAAGGATTCATGGAATTGAGTTTCCTGCTAATCTATTGAAACTACATTTTGATGAATTTGAAGTAATTCTAGGAATGGATTGGTTGTTTTGTTATTATGGAAATGTTGATTGTAGATTGAAAATGGTAACTTTGAGAAGCCCAGAAGGAACATGAGTGAACGTGATGGGTGAAAGAACTAATCCTTTAGCAAATGTGATATCGGCAATGGCATCAAAGTAATTGATGCTAAAAGGATGTCAAGGTTTCCTTGCAAACGTGGTATATACAAGAGTTACAGAGAAATGGTTAGATGAGATTCCGATAGTCAAAGAATTTCCTGATGTGTTCCCTACTGAGTTACCAGGATTACCTCTAGAAAGAGAGGTAGAATTTCAAATTGAAGTAATGCCGAGAACAGCTCCTATTGCAATGGAACCTTACCGTATGGCTTCGAAAGAGTTGCAGGAATGAAAGAAGCAATTGCAAGAGTTGTTAGAGAAGGGATTTATTCGACCAAGTGTGTCCCCTTGGGGAGCTCCAGTTTTATTTGTTAAGAAGAATGATGGTTCAATGCATCTCTGTATTGACTATCGACAGCTCAATAAAGTGACCATCACGAATAAGTATCCCCTCCCCCGAATTGATGATCTATTTGATCAGTTAAAAGGAGCTTCGGTATTTTCAAAGATTGACTTACGTTCTGGTTATCATCAATTGAAGATTCAAGATAAAGATATTTCCAAGACGATATTTAGAACAAGATATAGTCACTATAAGTTTATCGTGATGCCATTTGGAGTTACAAATGCACCTGCTGCTTTCATGGGCATCATGAACAAGATTTTTTAGCCCTATTTGGATCAGTTTGTGGTTGTCTTTATTGATTACATACTGGTGTACTGGAAATCACATGAAGAGCATAGCGCACATCTGAGGATCGTTTTGCAAATTCTAAGAGATAAGAAACTATATGTCAAATTGTCCAAATGTGAATTTTAGCTAAATGAAGTAATTTTCTTGGGGCACGTGATCTCTACAGATAGAATTAGGGTGGACCCTCAAAAGATTAAAGCTATAATGGATTGAGAAGTTCCAAAGAATGTATCGAAAGTTCGGAGTTTTCTTGGACTTGCAGGTTATTATTAGAGATTTGTTAAGAATTTTTTGATGATATGGTTACCTTTAACAAAGCTGATGAGAAAGAATGTACCATTTACATGGAATTCAGAGTGTCAAGAAAGTTTTGAAACTTTAAAGAGAATTTTGGCTGAAGCTCCTGTATTGGTTCAACCTGAATCTGGTAAGAATTTTGTGGTATATAGTGACGCGTCCCATAATGGGTTGGGATGTGTATTAATGCAAGAAGGCAAGGTGGTGGCCTATGCTTCGAGGCAATTAAAGTCGCATGAGAAGAATTATCCAACTCATGATTTGGAAATGGCTGCTGTAGTGTTTGCTCTCAAGATTTGGCGTTATTACTTATACGGAGAACGTTGTTACTTGTACACGGATCATAAGAGTTTGAAGTATTTAATGACTCAAAAAAGAGCTTAATTTGAGGCAAATGAGATGGGTTGAGTTTTTAAAAGATTATGATGTGATAATTGACTATCATCCCGGAAAGACTAACGTGGTAGCAGATGCTTTGAGCAGAAAAACGTTTGCAGCTTTACGAGCTATGGATACAAGATTATCTTTAACTGGAGACGGTGGTCTATGTGCAAAGTTAAAGCTTAAACCAACATGGTTGGATCTAATTGGAGAATTACAAAGTAAAGAAGAAATGTGTTTGAAAAGAATAGAGAAAGTAAAGAATAAAGAGATTAAGGATTTTGAGGTTAAGTCGGATGGGAAAATGTATTATAAAGGAAGAATAGTGATATCAGACGATGAGGATTTGAAGAAAGATTTATCGACAGAGGCTCATTGTAGTTCATTGACGATGCATCCGGGTGGAACCAAGATGTATATGGATTTAAAGGATCGGTATTGGTGGTCAGGAATGAAAAGAAGTATCACAGAATTTGTGTCTAAGTGTTTGGTACGCCAACAAGTCAAAGCTGAACATCAAGTTCCGTCAGGATTATTGCAACCCCTTTCTATTCCACAATAGAAGTGGGAAAATATATGATGATGAATTTTGTTTCGGGGTTACCCTTGACTCCAAATAAAAAAGATTCAATATGGGTGATTGTTGATCGATTTACTAAGTCATCGCATTTCCTTCCGGTTTGAACAGATTTCTCTATGGAAAAATACGCAGAGCTGTATATTAGAGAAATTATTAGATTGCATGGAGTGCCTATTTCTATAATTTCTGATCGAGACTCTCGATTTACTTCGAGATTCTGGAAAACTCTACATGGAGCGTTAGGAACTCGTCTAAATTTTAGTACGGCCTTTCACCCTCAGACTGATGAACAATCAGAAAAGACTATTCAAATATTGGAGGATATATTGAGAGCATGTGTAATTGAGTTCAAAGGGTCGTGGGAGAAATATTTACCATTGGCATAATTCGCTTACAACAATAGTTATCAGTCCAGTATTAAGATGGCACCTTATGAGGCTTTATATGAAAGAAAATGTCGTACGCCATTAAACTGATATGAACTTAAAGACCGAAGTGTTCTTGGTCCGGAGATGTGGAAGAAAAAGTTCGAGAAATTCAGAATAATCTCAAAGTGGCATTTGATCGACAAAAGTCTTATTCTGACCTTAAAAGAAAAGAAATTGAATTTGAAGTTAGAGAAAAAGTTTTCTTGAAAGTATCTCCCTAGAAGAAAGTATTGCGGTTTGGACGTAAAGGAAAGTTGAGTCCTAGGTTTATTGGACCTCATGAGATTGTAAAGAGAGTAGGTCTTGTGGCATATCAACTAGCTCTGCAACCTGAGATGGAAAAGATACATGATGTCTTTCATGTTTCAATGCTTCGAAGATATAGATCTGATCTCTCTCATGTAGTGACACCAGAAGAGATCGAGGTTCGATCTGACTTAACTTATACTAATAATATATCAAAAACTACAAATTATACACAATAAACATACATTATATTAAACAGGGAAAATATAGCCAAATATGTTTCAAACTAGCCCGGTATTCACCCAAGTCATTATTCTATCATAGTTCACAAAATGCATCAGATAACATTCCAGAAGTAAACACTTATATAAACATTTAAAAGGACAACATATAGGTTTAGTGCAGGTTCAATGACAATATTCTAGAAGAGTAGTAGTTTATTCTTGAAACTTAAATTCACAATACTGTGAAGTTAGTATTTGTCTTTGTTTTTTTGTCGAAGTAATGAAATTCATTCAAGTTTCAATTTGCAGAAGAAGAGTAGTTTATTCTTGAAACTTAAATTCGCAACACGAAAATGAAATTCGCAACACGATTTTAGTTTTCGCGTTGCGAATTTCATGTTACGAATTTCACTTTCGAGTTGTGATTTTCATGTTGCGAATTTAAGTTTTAAGAATAATCTACTATTCTTCTGCAAATTGAAACTTGAATGAATTGCATTACTTCAACCAAAAGATAAATACTAACTTCAAAAGGTTAAAGATTAAACTGTTTAACAGTATTGACAGCAACCGAATGAATTTACTAAGCAATCTAAGTAAAATGGTTAATTTATATATTGAAATTACGAGTAAATTTAACATCAATTTAAATATGAAAATGATTAATTATGTAATAATAATACAAAAAATTTAAAATAAAAAAAATTAAAAAAAAATTAACCCTCGGTGGTTGATTTTTCATTTGTGGTCGTGAATGGTTGTGAGAGGGTGGCTGTGAGAGATGGAGATGGAGGGAGATCGTCGGATATGGGGACTGATGTCGTCGAAGATGGGGACGGATGTCGTCGTAGAGAGTGAGAGATGAAGATGGGGAAGAAATTCGTGTTGCGAAATTTCTCAATTCGAGTTGTGAATTTTACTTATATGTTGAGAATTTGGAAACTGTGTTACGAAATTAGAGTTCGTGTTGCGAATTTGAAATCACGTTGCGAATTTGTTGGTTATTTTTGCAAATCCAAAAAAGTTGATTAAAATCGTATATTACAAGACATTTTCGGTCACTCAATTTATTTTCTCTAAAATGAAAGGCATGGGTGATTTATTTTTAGAATTAAATTCCTTCGTCTGCCTTTCTTCCCATTCCCCATATAACTTAATCCCATCATATGCTTCTTATAAAATTCTAAAATTGCTTTAGAAAATAGTAAAATGAATATTAGTTCTAGTATTTTTCTTTTTGCTTATTAAAATAAGTATTGTTTCCACCCATATGATATCTGTTTGAATAAAAACACCCATATAGTGTTTGTTTATTTCAATTTTCTAATAATTAAATCACTGCAACTCAAGACTGGAAAGTTCATAAAAAGAAAAATCCCCATTCAAAGTGGGGCAACCTACCCATATTTCCGAGTCTCTCTCTATCCTTTCAGCATCTCAATTCCCAAATACGAATCCCCATCTATCTTTAGACCCAGACGAGTACTATTTTCCATAGTTTATTCTTACTGGTATTATTTACTCTCAACATCCACGCTTATAACCCTCTGTTTGCAGCCATAAAGATCAGCAAAACAGATGAAGATTCAGTGCGACGTGTGTAGCAAAGACGAGGCCACCGCCTTCTGCACAGCCGACGAGGCCGCTCTCTGCGAAGCCTGTGACCACCGCGTCCACCACGCCAACAAGCTTGCTTCTAAGCACCAACGCTTTACTCTCCTCCATCCCTGCTCTTCTGAACAAGTCCCTCTTTGCGATATCTGTCAGGTAATTTTCATTGGCTTCTATAATTCATCACTGTGTTGAATTTCATTGAAGTCGGAGTTTTGATTGTTGGATTTTTTTTTTGGGTAGGAGAAACGAGCTTTCTTGTTTTGTCAACAAGATAGGGCGATTCTATGCAGAGATTGTGATGTTCCAATTCACTCGGCAAACGAACATACCCAGAAACATAACAGGTTCCTTCTTACAGGAATTAAGCTTTCCTCAACATCTACTATCTACACATCATCCAACGGATGTGATTCAATCCCCGAATTTAAGTCTCAATCATCGATGAAGAACCCACTCTCGAGTTATCCATCTACAACACCACCAACAGTAGCAGCAGCTGCGGTTAACAAAAGCGGCGGAGAAAACAACTTGTTAGCAAGTGAAGGAGATGGTTCAACAAGTAGCATATCTGAGTACTTGATCGAAATGCTTCCAGGGTGGCACGTTGAAGATTTCCTTGATTCCCCTGGACCTCCCTTTGGTTTCTATAAGGTTTGCATTGATCCATCATTCATCTATTTGTTTTTCCATCCTTTAACAATCTTCGAATGGTGGGATTTTTTCCCTTTGGATCTCAAAAATTTTCTTCTTCTTTCTTGTTATTTTTTGTTAGAGTCACGAAGATGGGATGCTGTCGTTTTTTGATACGGATAGCCAAGAAAGTTTAGGGCTTTGGGTTCCCCGGTCACCATCTTCACTATTTCTTCCCCAGTATTCTTCACAAAGAAGAGGGTCAATCGGGTTCAAAGAGATAAATGAAACCATATCTATGAAGGCTAACAAGAGATGGACAAATGATGCTTTCACAGTTCCACAGATCAGCCCTCCAGCCGTTGGATCCAAGAGATCTAGGCCTCTTTGGTAGAATCAGAAAAGGACCTCAAGTTCCTGTCTTGTCTTCTTTTTCCCTCGTATTTTCTTGCTAAGTTGATTGAAGTTTGATGTTTCTTTCCCCCCTACTCTAATAGGGTCGGTTTTGTTTGTTCCATTTTCTTCCTTCAACGACTTCGTAAATATCAATGGAAAATTTCAAGTTTTACTAATTCCCCATCTTTGAACTATTCTAGCTATGACATATCACTGTCTGAAAAGTGAAATCCTTTCAACAGACAGTCAAAGGAACAATCAATCATCCTTTTGGTCGGCAGATGTATCATTGTAAGAATGTACAAGAAAAAGAGAAGATAATTGTGAGGAACTGGTACAGGGATGAGATAAGGAAAGGAGGGGTAGGCAAAAAGGGATGGTCTGGTTTGGTCTTACGCAGATTGCAGGGTCTCATGGTGGGCGCGAGCACACCCAAAAGACTCCATTCTATCAATCTATTGGATACATACTAAGAAGAGCTGCCACTTCAATAGCTTGTAAATGACAAAGTTGTTCATCTGAGTACCGGTTGTGGGCCGAAAGGTTCATGTTGAGCCGACCACCCACATCTAAACTTACCTAAGCAGAGCCCGGTATTGTACGCTGCACGTGCTCCCTTTTGCTCCACTTTCTGGTTGGTTCAAATGGACGAATTCGCCTAATTTGGTCTTACACCTTGCACGAAATATCGCAATCAGCATCAGTTGTGGCTGTTTCGACACTTTTCACCGCGCCTTTTAAGGTGTCGGTTCTGCACATGAGACAAGCTGACACCATTAAGATTTAGGCTCAATTAGAGTAAATTGAGACGTTTGCGCATGCTCTTTGAATTTACTTCAAAAACTATGCTTACCGTCTGAAAGAATGTGCACACCTTTTAAAAGAACTTGCAAACTTTTGAAATCTTCCCCATTTTTTCTCCACAATTTAATAGTTCTAAGCTCTGCTTAAATGATATAAATTCTACCAAAAACGATACTTTTCTCGCCAAATTGTGAACACTTTCAACAAGATTTAAAAAGTTATTTAAACGTATAAAAAGAACGGTCAGTAACCAAGGCAAGTTAAAGTCTAGGATTGAAAAGAAAATTTCAACATTTATTAAACATAACCTAAACATTAATTAACCATTACCTACCGTCACAAGTTAAAAAAAATGAATAAGACTAGTTGCATAACTTATAATAATAAATGGTTGGGTAAAGTACATGAATGTGTTAGGAAATATAACGAGAACAAGTAATTTCCCTATAACCAGATTTGTAAGAATGCGAAATAAAAGCGGAAAAATAATACCCGAAATTGATAACGGAGTTCAGCCAATTGTGCTTACGTCTCCGGGCTGCTGCAGATCTTTTACTAAGATAAAATTTACAGGTGTTTACACAACACACTTGAGAGAGAACTAGAAGATTTTGGGATGATTTTGAAGCTAAATGAGCTAGGGTATTTATAGTTAAAACTTAGGGACTAATCTTTGAAAATACTCTAAAGTCTAGTGACCAAAAATAATTAACCCAAACCTAAATTCAACAAAATTAGGCAGCCACCCATTTATTCAAAGCAGCCCCCCCACCTTTGAATATCAAGCAGCCACCGGCTGCTAGTATTCATATTTGACCAACAATCTCCCACTTGAAGACTGATTTTAATCTATCTTCACACCTCGATCGATGCAGCAGCTCTTCTAGTCTTGTTACTCTAGCATGCCAACTGAAGTTGAACACAACTTCAGTTTGTCCGTGGTCACCGTCTTTGTCACATGTCTGCTGGATTTTGAGCTCCACTGATCTTTTCAAGTTTTCAAATCCCATCTTCCAGAAGAGACCGGATAAAATGATATCGCAATTGTATGTGCTTCGTCCTGGAATGAAAAGACGGATTCTTCGCTAGATGGATAGCACTTTGACTGTCGCAATACAAGACATTGTTTTCTTGTTTCTTGCCTAACTCTTCCAAGAAACTTTGGAGCCAAACCATCTCCTTGCTGGCTTCCGTAACAGCGACATATTCTGCTTCGGTTGTGGAGAGAGCAACTATCTTCTGTAATTGAGAAACCCAACTCACTGCAGTTCCTCCTAGAGTATAGACATACCCTGTAGTGCTCCTTCTGATGTCGACATTTCCGGCTAAGTCAGCATCTACATAGCCTGTTAGTATCGTATCTCCACCTTTGAAACAAAGTGCTTTGTTTGTAGTACCCCGCAGATATCTGAGGATCCATTTGACTGCTTCCCAGTGTACTTTTCCCGGATTATTCATGTACCTGCTAACAGCTCCCACTGCTTGAGCAATATCTGGTCTGGTACAAACCATGGCATACATCAGACTTCCAATTGCTGAGGCATACGGCACCTTCACCATGTGTGCACGTTCTTCCTCCGTCTTTGGTGACTGTTCTTTGGAGAGTCTGAAATGAACACCTAAAGGTGTACTTACTGGTTTAGCATCTTGCATGTTGAACCTGAAGAGTACTTTGTTGATGTACTCAGCCTGTGATAACATCAAAGTCCCCGACTTTGTGTCTCTCTTGATCCTCATCCCAAGAATCTGCTTTGCAGCGCCCAGATCTTTCATTGCAAATTGTTTCGACAATTTTTGCTTCAAGTTTATGATCTCTTGCATGTTTGGGCCTGCAACGAGCATGTCATCAACGTACAACAATAAATAATGAAGCTATTGTCGAACCTCTGATGTACAACAATGATCTGCTTGGCATCTGGTAAAACCACTACTACCCATGAAACTATCGAACTTCTTGTACCACTGTCTAGGAGCTTGTTTAAACCATACAAGCTCTTCTTCAACCTGCATACCAGGTTTTTCGCCTGCCTCTATGAAGCCTTCTGGCTGCCTCATATAGATTTCTTCCTCCAAATCACCATGAAGGAAAGCTGTCTTTACATCTAACTGCTCAAGATGTAAATTTTCTGCAGCTACAATTTTCAACACCAGTCTGATTGTAGACAGTTTCACGACTGGAGAGAAAATTTCATTGTAATCAATACCTTCTTTTTGCTGAAAGCCTTTGACAACCAATCTTGCTTTGTAACGTTTGCTCCCATCGTGCTCTTCTTTGATCCTGTAAATCCACTTGTTATGGAGCGCTCTCTTGCCTGGTGGTAATTCAGCTAATTCCACGTCTGATTGACATAAGCGAGTCCATCTCATCTTTCATGGAAGACTCCCACTTAACTGAATCCTCCACTTGCATTGCTTCATCATAACACTCTGGTTCACCATTGTCAGTCAGCAACAGTAGTGTAAAGAAGGAGAATACCGTTGGGTTGGTTTAGGAATTCTGGAGGAGCGTCTCAGTTCTGGTGTGCTTGGTTCTTCTTGAACTGCTTCAGGATTGATTTGAACATCATTTCCAGGAATCTCCTCAACTCAGCAAATTCCTTTGTTTCAGCTTTGGTATTTGAACTACTTGATTCTACAATTGACCTGTCTTTGTACATCACATTCTCTTGAAATGACATCTCTGCTTCTGATGATCTTCCGATTTTCATAGTCCCAAAACCGGTAACCGAACTCATCACCGCCATAACCAACAAGGCACATTTGGTTGGACTTAGCATCAAGCTTACTTCTTTCAGCAGAGTCTATGTGTACATAAGAATACAACCAAACACTCTTAAGTGTGAAAGGTTTATTTCTTTCTTGCTCCAAGCTTCCTCTGTATTCCGCCATCCAAAGGAACAGAGGGCCCACGGTTGATCAGGTAAGCTGCAGTGTTGATAGCTTCAGCCCATAGAAATTTGGGTAATCCGGCATGTATCCTCATGCTTCTAGCACGTTCATTCAGAGTTCTGTTCATGCGCTCTGCTACGCCATTCTGCTGCGGTGTTATGGGAACTGTTTTCTCCATCTTAATCCCATTGTTTGCGCAGAAATCTCTGAATCTACTGTCTCTGTACTCTCCTCCATTCAGACCTCAACCTCTTGACTTTCAAACCAGTCTCATTTTCCACCATGGCCTTCCATTTTCTGAAGGTATCAAAGACTTCTGATTTCTTCTTCAGAAAATAACCCACACCTTCCTTGTTGAATCATCGATGAATGTGACATAATAGTGAGTCTGCAAGAGATGGAACTGGGGATGGTCCCCATACATCAGTATGAACCAATTCTAACCTTTCTGCTTGGGTGTCTTGCCAATCTTTGCAAAACTGACTTTCTTTTGTTTGCCAAAGATGCAATCCTCGCATAGTCCGACTCTACATTCTTAGATCCGACAACTTCCCTTTTGACAGAAGTATCTTCATTCCTTTCTCGCTCATATGGCCAAGCCTTGGTGCCATAGGTTTGATTTTCCATCAGCATCTGCTACTACAATGATATTCTCTAAATTTGAGGTTACATAGAGAGTACCAGTCTTCTTACCACGAGCATGACGATGCTCCTTTGGTAATCTTCCATTCACAGCCTGAAAGGTTGTATTGTATCCTTCTCCATCAAGCTGTCCTACAGAAATCAAATTTCTTTTGAGACCAGGAAATGTCTCACTCTGTCAGCTTCCAGGTGGTCTGGTTTGGCAGCTTTAGTCGGATGTCTCCTTTTCCGACGATCTTCAAGGTTTCATCATCAGCAAGATGAACCTTCCCAAAATCACCACTGCATAGTTCTCCATGATTTCTTGGCATGACGTGGAGTGGAAAGATGCCCCTGAATCCAAGATCCATGATTCAATCAGACTGTTGACACTTAGAATCATGGCATCACCTGTCTCCTCTATCACGTTGGCAGATTCCTGTGCGCCGGTATTTTCTTCGGTGCTCGGCAATCTCTTTGAAGTGACCCTTCTTGCCGCAATTATAACAGGTAAAAATCTTTATTTCCTGTTCTTGATTTTCCCCTTCGGATTTCGATCTGCCACGATTTGAATTTCTTTCTGAAGTTCTCCCTCTAGACTCCGTGTGCAAGGCTGAGGAGGTTGATGCTTCACCCGATTCTCTCCGTCGAATTTCTTCGCTCAGTACCAGATCCCGAACATCGTCAAATTTTAATTTGCTGTTTCCGACGAACTGTGACTGCTGTAACAGTAGCATTCCAACTGTCTAGTAAGATGATAAGAATTAAAGCTCGAACTTCATCATCGAATTCAATTTTCCACTGAACTCAACTGGGTTGTGATTGTGTTGAGTTCATTTAGGTTGTGCCATCGATGCCCCTT